AAGCTACATCTCAGAAATAAACATCCCCCCTCCCCCCAACAAAAAAAACCCCAAAAAGCTCCGGAAACAAAGCCGAACAGTCTACTTACAAAATGACCTCCTGCAGTTCCAGCACGTTGGGGTGAGGGGCCAGGCGCCGCATGGCTTGGATTTCTCGTAAGTTGTTGACTTGCTCTATGCTGAGGAAGACAGAGTGGACACATGGGCGGCTGAGTGTGTGAGTAGTCATTGAAGCACATCCACACGACAATGTTCATATTATGATAATAATATTTCGGAGAAAGGAAACGATGGACATGTGTTGTTTACTTGTTTATTTGAATTAAGAGAAGCACATAGACACCATAACGTTCATATACTTCGGGGTCAGGGAAAGATAGATAGATACTGTTTATTTATCTGAATAAAGAGAAGCACATCGACACCATAACGTTCATATACTTCGGGGACAGGGAAAGATAGATAGATACTGTTTATTTATCTGAATAAAGAGCATTGACACAATAATGGTCATAGTGCAGAGTAGAAGCAAGACAGGTAGAAAGAAACAACAGAGCGAAAGAAAAGAAGCAGGGCCTTCCAGTGGGGTGGTCATACGCGATTGATATTCTAAGGACGAGAATCGAACTGGTCGTAGGCCTAGCCGTCGGGTGTGAACGGCCAATGGTGAAAACGGTGAAATGGTATATATCTTTAAGGCTCCTATCAACACTATTAGGTTATTTAACAGGCGGGACCTCCGAGTTTAAAGTCCATCTCCGAAAGGACTGAGCCAAGTGGGAAATTCGTGTAAAGGGCCTTTCCCAAGGACACGACGTCGGACGGCCAATGCATCACTTAAAGGCTTGTAGACTACGAGTCACAAGGTTAGGGGCATATTCTTTTTGAGCGCGGAATGCAGTATTACTATTAGAAAGTGCAGATTTGGAGAGGTTGATTGATCTAGAAGGCTACCAGCATTAATTCGCATGTATTATGTAGGATTCAAGTATCTTTCAACACAAGAACAGCGAGGTGCGGCGGTCAGAATTTGAAGCCGTTTTGGAAGGAAGTGGATGTGTTTTGAATGGTACGTTTTGCGTCCATCAATACCGTTTGGTTTGTTTGCTTATTTGTTTGTTTATTTGTTTGTTTGTTTGTTTGTTTGTTTGATTGCTTGTTTGTTTGCTTGCTTGTTTTTTGTTTGTTTGCTCGTTTGTCTGTCTGTCTGTGTGTCTGTCTGTGTGTCTGTCTGTGTGTCTGTCTGTCTGTCTGTCTGTCTGTCTGTCTGTCTGTCTGTCTGTCTGTCTGTTTGCTTGCTTGTTTGTTTGTTTGAATAAAAAGAAACACATGGACACAAAAGTTGTCATTTAGAGCAGGGGAAAATTACAACAGACAGACAGAAGCTAGAGAGGGAACGTAAAGAAGGAGGACCTGCTGGTGTCGCACTTCAACCACCTGCCAACAACACCGCACGTCGGTCAAAGGTTTTTTTTTTCTTTTTAAAAATAAATTCTTGTCAAATTAGAAACAACAAGGGAGGGATCTATTCGTAGTGTGCACTGAAGTCGCCATTAATAGGCATGACCCGACTTGACCCAATCTGTTCCTGCCAAAGGGAACCCGGTATAACGTTCGCCTACCACTCGCATCAGAAAAAGATAATTGCAACTACTGAAAAGAAGCAAGAAAGAAGAAAAAAAAGGGCACACCACACAAGAGCGCTAACCGACAACCCAAGGCTTGACTGAGGGCGTGCAGGTCAACATTATCCTGTCTGAAGCCAATATACAATACTGGAGAGACGAGAGTGATGAGATGAACGAATCAAAAATAATATGTACGCTCTCGTGCATACACGAGAAAATTAAGTTAAGGACACACACATACACACACACACACACACACACACACACACACACACACACACACACACACACGTACACAACGTGGACTCGTTTACAGCTAAATATATCAAAAGCTATAAGACGCCTGTGAACGGTGTTTACTTTTAAGTATTCATTAGCAAGTCCATTTATTATTAAAGTGGACTTGAAGGCGATAATTGCATGTGACAGACTTCTGCCAAAAATATAATGGACCAGCACTTATAATCTTAATGCGATATCCCACCATCAAAATGTTAATTTACCAACAGTTCAAAGATATAAAAAGAAAGAAACGATTATTGCCCGAATCAGAAAAACACATGAAACCAGCAGAATTTGAAGAGTTTGCTCTACAAAACCCAAAACTATTTCTTAATGCAAGTGCTGTACTCCCCCACCGATAATATTTCTATCATTTTGAAAGTGAACTGCTTCTACTCTGGTGATCAGGGCCAACCAAGACAGAGGGGCACGATGTCTCAGGAGACAAACGGGAGATTTTTCTCTTTGTTTCTGCTCCCGTAGATTCTCTTGGCTCTCCGCTTTCCTCGGTGTATCTCGCAGCTCCATGGCTGTCCATTCGCGGATGTTATCCTCCCATCTCTTCTTCTGTCTGCCTCTCCTTCGTCCCCCCTGCACAGTGCTTCGTAGAATGGTTTTAGCGAGGCCTGAAGAACGGCCATACCATTTCAGCTTGCGCTGCTTGATCAATGATAGAAGGTCGGTGTAAGGTCTGATTACATTTCTTATGCGTCTTTTCAATTCTTCATTAGTGACATATGGCCACACGCATATATAGAAATATTGATTCACTACGGAGCGCGTGAGCTTGATCTTTGAGCTTTGTTCAATGCTCCTGTTTCTCCACATATGTTAGATTCCGGTTAGCGCGGCTGTGGTCTGTGCTATTCTGGGGAGTATTTAAGGCTTTGATCCTTTGTCTGAAATAATTATTATTGACTCTGATTATTTGAAGCGTGTGACACTCTCGAGACATACATTCGATAAAAATAGTTCTCCCAACAAGGTAATCGGAATTCAGGCCTGCGTACGACAGCATAGCGCATCACCGATTCCTAAATGTCGGTCTCCTCAAAACTCAAAACTACGATAAGGTACTAATGCTTTTACCTTTTACTTTTTCACTTTCACCCTCTGTTGCCGTTAAGCGTCGAGGGGAGATGCAGTTTTCTGTGATAAAAATAAAGTTGTTCCCGCATCCGATCCGGACATTGGGGATTGCCTTGTTAGTGAGACAACTTCCTGGGCCTTCGGCATATCGTGGTAAGGTGGCCTGTTCCTTTCCACGCCGCCTTTACTTCCCTTACTCGACGTCAGGTACCCATTGCTGGTGGGTGGGCAAGAGGGGGCGAAAAAAACCCGTGTCCGAAGCGAGGCGCGAACCCGGACTTTCCGCTTCGGAGACGAGCGCACTAACAGCTCCTCCACAGCACCCTCTATGATAGGTCAGGTAAATGACTTAAATCACCCTGGCACGATGCCAAAATATCATTTCGAAAAAAAAAAGGAAGTAGGAGCACACGGCCCACAGGTTAGTTAAGACGAAAAGAAGGAAAAGAAAAGAGACGAAGGGGATAAAATACACACATAGACACACACAGAGATATCTGAATATCCCACATTTACGTTTGAGTGCATGACAATGTATTCTTTTGGCATAACTCTACCAAGAGAAGAACAATGCGTCACAAGTCTTGAACGAATGCAATATTATTCAGAACTTTTTCACCTAAGAAAGGGAAATGCGCGCGCGCGGTGTGAGTGTGTATGTGTACGTGTGTGTGTGTGTGTGTGTG